TGCCTGCAATTTGATATGCGTGGTTTGGAAACCGTCGTGTAGAAACTGTAGTCTCAAGCCTGCATTCTGTTCAGAACAGGGACAAGACGTTGCTGGGTTCGCGCAAACATGGCAGCCAGTGCGCCCGACGTGCTCAGAACTTTTCAAGAAGTCCAATCGGGGAGCAGGAGTTCTTGCCAGTATGTGGCTGAATTTCAGCAAGCAGTTTTGTGTGCGATGCAAAATAGTCGCTGCCAACGAAGCTTGCAGGGCTTTCTGGTCTGCAACGGAATGTTTTCTTGTGACATCAAGTGCTGTTTCTGAACACAGACAGAAAGCATGTCATACAAATGTTGATCTATTTGATTTGACCATGTGATTCCTTTAGCAGTAGCGCTGAATGCAGCTGTTTGCCAGCTTGTCTCACAGAGAGAGAGAGAGAGATAGATAGATAGATAGATAGATAGATAGATAGATAGATAAATAAGTAGAGAGAGAGAGAGACACTTTTGGGTTGTCATACCAGTGTGATGACTTGTGTGGCCAATCATAGCTCTCAGATTTGTTGCTTCTGAACCGCTGTTGTGGCTCAAGTCTTGAAGGAAGTTTGTAAAGGCTGCCGCTGGAGGGTGCGGCCGCTAGCTTCAAAGGCCCTTGGCCTGCAAACTCCTGGGGAACGCAGGACATTCGGGGAAATGTATTTTTCCTTTTTGCTCAATGTTTTTGTGATTGGTTTAAGTTGAATTAATTAATCAACTTTTTGCTTTGAGGATGCGGCTGACATTGGAGTTGCTGCAGCAGGCACCGCAATCCTTGAATCCAGCCAAGCACAGGCAGCTACTTCTGCGCGGGTTCAAGCTGCTTGGACAAGGTGCATGCCAGAGGCGCATGATCATAGAATGAGACTACATCATGCCAGGTTACCACTATGCAGAACTTGAACATTTTTTTTGACAGAAATGATTTTGTTGTAGATTTTGGTCCATTCTGAAGTCTTGGAAGACTTGCTAATTCGAAGAATGCAATGGTCTAGGCCAGTAGTCAGTAGTTCATGCAAACCAAGGATTCCAACCATCGAATCTTGGCAGTTCGTTGGGTGCTGTGGATTGAAATCAGGATTATTGCGCAAATTTAAGCACACTATTAAGAGGCATGAGAGGGATTAGGAGACCTACACACTCCGACATGCATGGGATTCAGTTCACTTTTAGGGTATATTCAGAAGCAGTGAACGTGGGGTTTGATCCTGTGCGGAAACAACCACTCAAATTGCCAAGTGCTCTCTCACCCATCAATAAGGAAAACTTGGGTGGCACAGACGATGCTTATGAGTGCCTTCGCGAGGCATTGTTGATTCCCACTGCATCATGCAAGGTTCGACATTAAGTACAAGGCACAGGAAACAAATGGATCAACAACAGGTTTTAGGCGTGGATTCTTGTGTCATGAGGAACCCACGAAAGACTGTGATAGTGTGATTTTGAATTTCTATCAGTGTTGCATGAACAATTGCCTGAAACTACTTAGGTGCTTGGACTTGTCAGACAATGACCTCATCAAGCTTGGAAACTTCCCTCCACTGAAGAGGCTGGCTTTGATTCGTGTGCATCCCTCCTGCTATGGACTCTTTTTCACATTGTCTTCTGGCCCGCTGCATCTTGCAGGCTGCGAGTGCTCATGCTAGCAAATAACCGGCCGTGTGCTCAACAATTGTTCCAGCAAATCCCGAGGGATGGAAAAAAACTGATAGTGCTTCTCGAAACACTTTACAGTATTCCGTTCACTCAGGATCAGCCGCATTGCGCCGGACTGCAGCTGGCACGAATAGTCAGAGAGTGCGTGTCATCGACAGAGATTCTAGTTATTTCTTACTGGGCCACTCCGGAGTTTTAGCTTCGAGTCCCACAGCTCATATTCAACACTATTTGTCAATCTAAGGCTTTGATCCGATCCCACATATTGTCAGCCTGGTGCTCACAGGCAAAGATCTTGTGTTTTCGTTTCAAAAGATGTCGAGCAGACTGTACAGGTTCCTCTTGGTATGAGTTTGTGAACTGATAGGCAACAAGCTGGAGAAGTCCCTCGGGAAAATGAGAGCACTTGATTGGATGTTTCTGTTGAGTATCCCAGTTTTTTAGACCTTTGTGTACTGCTACACCGTCTTGAGTGTTTGGTTCGATTATTTTAATTACTTTGCTTTTCTGAGGCTTGTCGATTTGGAACCTATCACCAAGCTTGTGAATCTCGAGCGCTTAAGCCTCATGGACAATCCTGTGACCAAGGTGGAGGGTTCCAAGACTCATTGCACACCCTAATAGGAATGGCCTCCACCCCAAGAGCGATGGCCTCCAAGCTAATAGCAATGATCCCCTCCAGACTTCTGGTATTTGGAGGGCCAATTGAGGTAGTAAGAGTCGCTCTACAAGACGGTTCTAATGTTTTCTAGCCTGGTCAAAGAGACATAGAGACAATTGAAACAACACACTGAAGGTTTTTGGATCGGAAGAACTCGCTACCCATCTTGAGTACCTTGCGTAGCTTGGACAGCTTGATGAAGCAGGTGAAGCACTTCCGACCCTACATGATCCACAAAAGCTCCAAGGCTTTGAGGACACGCAAGCTGGTGCAAGAGTTTGACCGTACTTTTTATAAGGGTGGGTGGGAGGCAAGTAGCAACAAGGAAGACTAGCAACTAGTAGCATGGAAGCAGTAGAGGGAGGGTTCTTCACAGAAGCTTGCAGAAGAGCCTTTGCTATATGAAACGGTTTCATTCCTTTTTTCGGCTAAGAGTTTGAGAAGCTTTCAGGATGAACTGAGACCGATTTTGAGACCCTGCAGGATCCTAGACTTCAACCGAATTAAAGATAAAGAGAGAAAGGTGCGGATCGATTCCTTTATGCTTCTTTTCCATGAGCTTGAGGGAAACCTGCTTCTTTTGTTGCCAGCTCCAGTTTTATCATTGACTGGGTATAGCTCCACATGCAGCCAAGCATATGTGTCTATGCAGTTTGTGACTGATCCTAGCCTGAGTGGATAAACTATCACCACAGGCAGCTTCACTCTTGTTTGCCGGAGATCGCGGCAAGAAGCTGCTTGAGGAGAGTCGAGAGTCTGTGGTTGACCTTCATGCTGCACCATCTGAAGCATAGCTTTATGAAATTCATGAATCATGGTTTCTTAATGTCTCTTAGCATCTCTTGAGGAGATTGCACCACCGCGGGTTGTGGGCAAGGAGCAGACAGAGAAGGTACAGCAGCAGGGATTGCTTCACAGGGGTGAATATGTTTCTTTTTTTGAAAGCGTTTTCTGTTTGGAGCTTGCAGTCCTGCCAGGTTTCAGAGGTTGCAAAGACTGGGCCTTCGACGGAGGTAGTTGCATCTTGGCATCGATTTTGATCCGCAGTTCTCTCAGCCTCTCAGCTATCCGATGTTTGCAGTGAGACGTTTGCCAAGGAGAGAATCAAGAAGGCCATTGCAGAGGCAGAGACCATTGAAGAGGTCACCCGATTGGAGAAGGCAGCTCGACAAAGTCTCGACAGAGTCTTGGGTTTGGCAGTTTGCTGACATCAACGGTACAAAGAACCCATTGAAAACAAGTTCATTCTTGAAAATGCTGCTAGGCACTGAAGAGTGGTGTTCTTCCTGATGATCTGAAAGAGCCAGGCCAAGCAGGAGAGACATATTGCCATGCGATTGTAAAGCGGCAAGTCCATGAATAGAGGAGTTGATATTTGCTGGAGTTTCCCTCCAGTCTTGAGGAAGGTGCAGTCACACAGCAAGGTTGAAGAGGCTTTGCAGATTGCTGAGCTGCAAGGACCGGCAGAGGGACCTGAACAAGGCCACAGTTCGGATGAGGGTCTTGGAACACTTGAGGGAATCGGACATGATCGGACACGAGGGCTGAGTGTCGTTCCACCAATGGAGGGAACTCCAAAAAGGTATCGGAACTCCTGCAAGGTCCTGGGCCCATGGAGGTTTCGGAAGGAGCAGCGCAAGCAGAGGGTGACACGCCAGCTGCAGCTTCTTAGGTGGCCAGCTTCAAAGTGGAACAGGTTTAGTGTCCAAAAACGAAACCATTACACCACAACTTTCATTTCTCAGTGCTACAAAGCCACAACTTTCTGACTTACTTTCTTACTTATTTTGCACAGTGGTGGAACAGACCAAGGTCAAAGATAAGTGCAATGCAGTGGAAAGAGCTGAAAAGGGTGCACTGTGTTTGGTTCGCTCGGACCCGTCGAAAAGAGATGCCTATCGTTTTTTTGTCGTTATTTTGTTCAACACCCGGAGTCCAGAGGCCTCAAGCATGTCAAACTCTGCTCCAAATACCACCATGCCACCAAGGACCCTTACCCAGTGATAAGAATCAGCCTAACCCCCCAACGCCATGAGCTGTTCCGGTTGGATAGTTAAGAGCTTTGAGGTTGCCAAAGCCCTGTTGCTTCAATGAGGTTTCAATTGAGGTTCTGCCGATGCTTCGCCCTACCTACCGTGAATTTGCAGACACTCTCTGTACATTTGCGCAGCCATTCAGTTCAAGTTCTTTGGAAAGTCTTTTGACCACTGCAGCGTTGCAGACGCAAAGATGCCACTCAATGGAGTGGAAGCTGCCGATACAGCTTCATTGCAGCAAGTAGTTGGCCGCATATTCATCATATATTCCCTAACCCTGGAAGGAAAGCTGGCTTGGATATCTATTGCACTTCATTTTGAGAGGATCTGGAGTGTTCTTTCTGGATCAGCACTGGACAGCCAAACGGAGTCCAGCCTGTCTGGAAGGATGTCTGTTGCGGGAATTTCTGTTGCCTGCACTTCAAAGGGTCCAAGTACCTTAATTTGGTTATTTGAGCGTAAGGTTTTTCAATGCCTGGTGAGGCTTTCATTCTCATTTGTGCAGCCTTGGTTCAGCTGATGACCCCTGGACTGGCATTCTTTTATGGCGGGCTGGTGAAGGATACGAGCGTTGGCCGACTGCGCTTAATGGAATGCACACTTCGTTTTTTGTTTAAAAGGCGGTTTCACAATCTAGAGTGCAGCATTGCAATGGTATTTTCTACTGTAACTTTTTTGCTCTGCTATAAAGTCTGCTAAGCCAGACATGAGAAGATATGGGAAGAGAGAACAACGACAGCAAAATGAAACAAGAGAGAATGGGTTGGCTGAGTTGGCTAGCTGTGTGGACGAGCACAAGAAAAGGTACTGACAATGATGATGCAGTGCTTTATTTCTATGGGCGTGACAAGCATATTTTGGTGCCGCCCTGAGCTTTTCCATCAGCGCTCGTCGACTGATGTGGGACATTTCCCGGCTCATTCTCGTTTGTCCCAGGTTCTTATTTGGCTTCTCGCTCTGCTTTGGTGAGAGCGTGGGCTTTTTCGGAAACCCTTGGACCTACATGGCCTTGCGGGGCCTGAGCGTTCACGAGGCCACGACACATGTGATCTGCTATACATGTGATTTGCTGTACATGGCAGGCCCTTCCTGGCCAGTCAATTCCTGGTCTCCTTTTCATGGCATACCAAGGTGTCTTTCCTTAAGTAATGCTTCAGTTGTTTCAGTGAGTGTTTTCTTTTTTGCTTTTGTCTGGGGGAAGATGCAGAGCAAAACGGATTTAAAAACAGCATGATGAAGAGGCTTGCTTTCCACTGTCGAATGCTTGGAATCACCCTCGTGAGGTATGTTTGCAGTAATAACTCCTGCCTTGATGACCGGTGCATTTGCAGATCGCTTTCGCTTCAAACCATACCTGTTTTTTATTGTGCTTTGGCTTTTGCTTCTTGGTTTGCATGGCTTCGAGCTTCTACCTCGCTGACAACATTTTGCTTTCGGGTTTCTGAGTGACCTTGGACATCTTCCTAGACTTGAATTTGCACGAGCGATTTGCACCATTCGCCAGCAATTGCCAGATCTTATTTGGATTCCTGCCTTTGCTTGCCCGAAAGGGCACAAGGCATGGTATATTTCCAAATAATATTTCTGAGATGCATATCTGCATATTTGCTTTTTGCATATTTGGATGTTTGCCTTTCCATATTTCTTCTCACTGAGGTTTGTCTACTGTCCTTGGTGCCATTGGCTATGGGGTGGTGGCTTCCTTTATCAGTGGGGATGCAGAGACTTCGCTGGAGGCGCTGCGGGCGAGGACGGGTGTTGTTTCTCACGTGGGATCCCCGTTGCCTGCGGTGAAGCTTTGGACATGTCTAGTGTAGGTATAGAATGTACACAAAGGCATTTCAAGGCACAATGTACACCAAGTTTTATTTGGGAATCTGTTGAAGAACAGCTGAACGACTTATTTGATGGACTCTTATGACTCCAGGCTCCAGATTCCCTTGGCTCACATCAATCAACCACCTCCTGGCATTTGTCAAGTGCTTCTTTCCAGAAAGTGTGGGCACGCTTTGGATTCTGAGGCATTGTAGTGCATGTCACTGCTGGCTTCGGCGCTTTGGCCAGTCTCTTTGTGGTAGGCTGGGTGCTGGAGAGTGTTCCATGGCTAACACTGAAAGTCTCCATGAATCTTGTGAATCTATGTGAACTCTGAAGAGTCTGAATATTCTTTGTCGAGGCAAACGAGAGATTCCTGAACATGAAAAAGATCATCATAGAAAGCCGCACAATGTGCCGTTTGTTGCTTTGGGCACTGCGCTGCTGTGGTTTGGCTGGTTTGGCTTCAATCCAGGAGACCTGGCAAGTTCCATGCCTGTTTCGGCATGCTCCCTCTAGCTTCCTCCAAATTGATGTCTAGTCTACCCAGAATCTGCCACGTTCTTTTGCCAGCTTGTATCGATTTATGTACATATATATTCTTTTCAAACGTTCACATCTCAAGAATTGTCGTGTTTGATTCTGTGGTTATTATGCTGATGCAACTATTGATTGTTGTGCGTCGTTTGGGGAGACACCGCTGCTGAAGATGTAAACAATGGAAGTCAGAATTGCTTGGTACTTGATATCCGGTATACGTTGACAAACTGGGCTTGCGACTCGACCAGGCGCCTGTGGGTGACCAAAAATATGTGGACAGCGGTTTTGGTACAAACTCACAGCTTTTGAGGTTAGGGTAAATCTAAGCTTAAGGCAGGGCTGAAATTGGGAGATGTTCAGCAATTTAAAAAGGAGCCCTTTTTTTTTCGATCCTAGTCACTCTCTCACGCCCCAAAAGGTTGGCGGTTAGAAGAGTTCTGTAGAAACCTCATTTGAGCGGTACGGAATCATCAGTTCCTCTGACCTCGACCATGTGGTTGTTTGGCTGATTAGGGGTGCCGAACGACAGACCAGATGCACTGCATGGTTTGCTGCCAAAGTCCCTTGAGCCTGCTCCAACTGTGTTGAGGATCTGCGCTGGCTTGCAACGGAGTGGCGGTTGCAGCTGCTGTGAACTCTGAGATTGCAGCATCAGTGTCGACCTTTTTGTGGCTCCTGCACCTTGACAGAGACTCGATATGTTTGGGGGGGTAGGCTGAGAGGACGGCCATAAGGCTACGAACCAAATAAACAAGTTAAAGTTAAGTAAGAGGAAGACCCATCAGCTCCTAGATTAAATATGATTACTGTAAATAAGAAAACAAAGGAGAAACAAAAGGTCTCTTCAACTTCAAGGGGCCCTACCTTTTTCAAAAACTCTCACGCCGACACGAGAAGAGATTCGGCAACCTGGGCCATGGTTGTTCCCCGCGGGGAACCTGAGTTTCCGAAAGATTAAGCTTGTCCAAGTAAAGAAAGCCGCTGATCACCCAATGGCATCAAAAGGGATGATCCACGAATTTGGGGTGTCCTTCACCCTCTGCAAAAGGCAAACCAATATTTTCAAGTCTATACCGAATTCGACAGCCACACTTCGGCGCCCATGAAGGCACTTTTCGGAAAGGACTTACCATTTTGTTTGTTTTTGCAATTTACATGAAGAGGAGCAACAGCAATCGGCTTCAGCTTGCAGACTGCAAAACCATTACACAAATTTTTGCCGTAGGCATTCGGAGGAGCCACAATGCCCTCCGGTAAGTCAAATCAAAAGTTGTGAAAACAAACTTCGACAGCAAACTCAAAAACAGAGCAAGACTTGCCCTCACCAAGACACCATTTCAGGGAGCAGCAAAAGGACAGAAAGGTGCGGACATTTTCAAGGGGCCCTATTAACGTGGTCCTTTTCCTTCATTTTTTCTTTTTCATTTTACTTTCTTTTTTAGTGCTGTGAGAGAGCGATGGTGCAGGATTGAGTGGATCCGGCTTGGACGGCCCACTTTGATTGGCCTTTGTGTCGGTGCTATCGCGGGCCTTGCGACGATTACACCTGCTGCTGGCTTCGTTGAACCAAGTGGTGCGTGGCTATGACGAGCAACATCAGTTGAGATTTCTTGACGAAGCAAGAAGGGTCCTAATAGTGAAGTAGGGCAGCGGCCAGCAGGCAGAATAGGCACAATCAGAAGCATCAGTTTGCTCTTGCAACGTCAAAGGTTTGTTTATGGCCTGGTGGCAACCTTCTTTTGCTTTGCATCATGCGAACTGATCAAGCAAATGGGCTTGGATGATGCATTGGATGTGTGGGGCGTGCATGGCATGGGTGGCTGGATTGGATCAATCCTGTTCCTCTGCTGGGAGAGCTATGCTTTGTTTCTTTGTGCGGTGAAAACCCGTGCGGTCATCAAAGTGTGTTGCCAAAAATTGACGAGTTGGTGAAGTCCTCTGCAGTCGAACTTTCCTGGAAAAATTGGGAGAAGAGCTTCTTCAGTGACTGAACGCTCAAACTTGGTTCATTTGTGGAGGCTTGGAGCATTTGCTGACAGCTCGGAATGCATGGGCGCATCACCCCCCTCAATCTGCCTCAATCCAGGAGTGCCACCATACCGGTCCTGGGAGCAGTTGGGCAGCTTGAACTGGACATGTTCAGTGTTTCAGTCTTTTATTGTTTTTAGTTTTCTTGGATGTTCTTTGAAGGTTAAACTTAAACCAAGTGGCAATCCAATGAATCTCCAACAGAGGCAAGCAAACTGTAGCTACGCTTTTCTGCAGCGTATATTCTTTGGCTGTTTCCTGGGTCCTGCTCAAGGCGCGGTGCTCAGAGTCTGGTCAGAGCCGATAGATTGCAATGCATCCTCTTGAGTTCAAAAGGCCTGCCGTGAGGCTGAACATGTCTTGAGAGCCCAGGCCATTGGCATGTTACTAGGGAAGAAGCTACTAGGAACAAGTGCATCGCTTCTAGTAACAAGTGCCTTACTAGTAGTAACAAGAAGCTATTAGAAACAAATAGAATACATATTCTAATAACTTCTTGTTACTACTAGTAAGGCACTTGTTACTAGAAGCGATGCACTTGTTCCCAATAGTTATGTGTTTTGAGAGCCCAGGCCATTAGCATGTGTATGCCTTTGAAGCCACAAAGTCTTCATGTTGATCTTCATGAACATCACGAGGTGGCCTACCACAGCCCTGCCCTTGCCTTAATTGCATGGCTGATGGCCCTATTGGCTCTCAATCCCTCAAAGCTGCTGAACATTCCTGGCCGTAAAGTATGAGACAAAGTTGACCGAAGTGGTCGTTTGTGTGTCCATTCAAAGTATGGCTGGTGTGGACGTTCGTTCTGATTTGTATCTGCATTTCCCTTTGTTGAGGTCATTCGTAGCCCAGTTCTGAAGATTCGGCTGTTGCCGTAGGGTAGGATTCTTGGTATGACCCAGAGAAGTTCACCGGTATTTTATTGTTTCTCTTGAGTTCAAGGCCTCTGTGCCTGCTTCACAGGGTGGTGCACCATCTTGTCTTGAAGCCTTCCCACTTTTCTCCAGTTTATTCTGCTTTGCGAGGTAAGGTAAGGTGCGAGTCATTTTGTTTCTTTTTTATCCTTTGGAGACAAACTATCAGTCCGCTTCTTGGAGTCTCCCTTCAACACTTCTCTTTGAAGCCGAGATGTGGCTGTTGAAACAAGGTGCCTTTTTCACTTCAAGCAACAATCTTCCTACAAGTCCAAGGCCCATCGTCGAGTCCGTGTACAGTCAAGGGTTTGTCAGGTTCAGCTTTGATCTGACATGGACATTGTCGAAGCTCTAGCTGCTAGTTCAACTTCATGCACCCCCAACTAGCTCAAAAGACAAATCTGACAGCCGATAGTTGCGGGGATTTAGCTTGGAAGACTTTTGGCCAGTGTTTGTCGTTTTGCTGCTAGCAGCTGATCATCTTGAATGTTCGCTCAAGCTAAGATTCGGAGCTACATGCCGGGGACCGAGCAGAAGCTTCAGCATCAAGGCAGCCAAGAGAGCCAATCCTCCTCGTCTTCTGAGAGTTGGTTTTGATTGTGATTGATTAAGCAGTGCCAAATTTGCCCTGCGTGAAGGAGAAAAGACCGTTATTGACAACCCTCGGGTGCATTGTTCTTGAATGTGCTTCACACCACTTTCATGGTAGTGGCACTTAGGGTGCAAGAGACTCCATGACTTGAGTCGTTTAGCCGTTTAGCCCCAACTCAACTTGCACGCCTATGCACGGTGCTCGATAAGACGACGCAGACTTGCAGTTGTCAGAGTGTTTCTTGCTTGCTTTTTTTACTGCATAACTGGATCAGCAGAAGTGGAACATCCTCCTTTGGCTGCTACTTATTCCATGCCTGCCATAGCTCTACGTTAGTCAACAGGGTGAGCCGGTTGCCAAAAGCATGGCCCTTGGCAGCGAGAGCACTGCTGATGAAGCAGTTGAGCCTGACGAGGACCGAGATCGGGTGGCCACTGTCGGTTGTCAAAATCCAATAAAGGTGCCATAGTTTCTCCATTATAAAGAAAGAAAAAGACAAGAATAAGCAAAAGTACTGGCGAGCCAGCAGGAAGTTGCAGACTTTCCAGAAAGTGGGGTTCTTTGTGTGCATGCTGCTTGGTGTCGGGAAGTGAGGTTGGGTTTTGGAAAATGCTTTCTGTGAAAACCGAAGCCAGCGAGGCTTATGGACGCTTGGAAGAGGTTCATGTTCAGCCTTTGACACTGAAGAAGCTGCGGCAAGCCGCCAAAGATGCCTTCGATTTGCCAGATACGGAGATCTTGTTGAAAGGCGCTGCACCTGATTGTCCGCATCAAGAGCACATTTTTTATCAAGATCCAAAGCACATAAATATGAGAAGGAAGGAAGGAAGGAAGGAAGGAAGGAAGGAAGGAAGGAAGGAAGGAAGGAAGGGAAGGGAAGGGAAGGGAAGGGAAGGGAGGGGAGGGAAGGGAGGGGAGGGGAGGGGAGGGGACGGGACGGGACGGGACGGGACGGGACGGGAAGGGAAGGGAAGGGAAGGGAAAGGAAAGGAAAGGAAAGGAAAGGAAAGGAAAGGAAGGAAGCAAGGACGCAAGGAAGCAAGAAAGCAAGCGAATGGGGCAGGAAGCAAGCAAGCAAGCAAGCAAGCAAGCAAGCAAGCCAGCAAGGAAGCCAGGAGGGAAGGAAGCAAGGAAGCCAGGAGGCAAGGAAGCAAGGAAGCAAGTAAGCAAGGAAGGAAGCAAGCAAGCAAGCAAGCAAGAAAGGAAGGAAGGAAGGCGCTTGTTCTTTTGCTGCTATTTTGCCTTCGCTGCTTGTTTGCGTATTTTTGCCAGTACAACTGCCAGGTACAATTGCTAGTCCATCGGTGCATACTTTTTGTGAGCCACCCACGGGCAACATTTAGATGAGGAAGCTGCCATTCCAACGGCGCATACCTTTTGAGAGCCACCCAGGTGTAAAATTTAGAGGAGGAGCATACTTCTGGTGAGCCAAACGGTGCATACCGAGGATAACATTTAGAAGAGCAAGCTCCCACTCCAATCTAACCATGCACCTGGCAGCCTTGGCACCCGCCCAAATTCCACTCCAACGTAACCATGCACCTGGCAGCCTTGGCACCCGCCCAAAAATTTGAGCAGGATGGTAAGCCACCGAATGGTCAAAAAGAGAGAAGGCAGGAGACATTCCAATGCGAGGCCAAAAAATTGAAAAGCCAGGTGCCACTCCAATCCCAATGCACACTATGCCTTCTGTGATCCACCTGGAGCTACTGGATTTGTTTGATCTTCATACTGAGTTCGTTATTGATGCCCCGCGAATAGCATTTTTGTTGAGTCCTTTATTGTTATTTTTGATCCCCTGGCCTTCACCTGCATCATTCATTTCCGCAGCTGTTTCTGGTGAATGTATCCAAAGAAGAGCTTTGTTCACAGGACCTGATGGCTCCTGTGCAGAATCTGACGAGATGCTGAAAAATCTGGCATCAGTCATGCTGGCTCGTTAAGATCTTGAAACGAACTTCATTAAGCCAACACCTGACAACATTGTAGATGTCTTTAAATATATATATATATATATATATTGGACATGTGCTTTTTGTGTGACAACGTGTGGACATGATCAGGTGTACTTGGAGCTGCCGGATGGTGGACTTCATGACCTCGAGCAGCGGATTGATCAGCTGCAACACTTGCAGGTGTGTGTGTGTGTCTTATTGTATTCGTATTTGTTTGGGTGGGGGAGGCCGCGCAGTCCATGAGGTAAGAAGAGGTACGCTTAAGTTTAGTAAGTGACAGCAACAAAAGGGTTCTTCAATGCAGGGACGCTGAAGGGCAAAGGGTTCTTCAAGGAAGGTCCGCCGCCTGGGGGCGGGGGGAGCTTCCTTGAATAAGCTGTCGCGTGATTGATTGGTTCCTAGATTCTTTGGGAACTACCCTGGAACTTGAGACCTTTCAACATCTTTTGGTACTCTTCTGAGAGAACGGCCGAAGTGAAGAGCTAATGAGTTGGACAAAAATGCCTCTTGGAGAATAGCCGGCACTGCGTGCAGATGTTTTGATTCTTGGGGCACTACGGGCACCGCCGACACAACACGTGACCCACACAGCAGCAATACCTGAGGTGAGCCACGTTTGCGACCGCCTTGCAACCTTGGCTGACGAACAGGTGAGCCACCAGGCCTCCATTGCAGGCGCTATTTGGAAAGACCGAACGACCAGTCCTTTGTTTTTTTGGGCGAACCCGTGAAAAAAACCGGGCAAAAAGGGGCAAGTAGTAGAGAGAAAAGCAAGTACGGTACTGTACCATGGACCACGCTTGTTGAGTCTTGTCATTGGATGTGATTGATCATGTTTGATCAATTTGACTACGTGGCAAGATATTAGTAGTAACAAGAAGCTATTAGGAACAAGTGCCTCGCTAGTAGTAACAAGTGCCTTACTAGTAGTAACAAGAAGCTACTAGGAACAAGTGCATCGCTCTTTATTGCAGGCCTAACGGATGCGTTGATCGAAGAGCAGGCCTTCCGTCAAGAATTTGAAGAAGCCGTGCGGGCGGAGATCAAGCACGTGGCTTGGCAGAACTCTTCAGCGCATTTCAAACCACTCCCCGTGATCTTGACTCCCTTTGGGTTTTGTGTTGAGTCCTTTGTAGCAGATGGCTTCAGAAGGATTTTCAGCAAGTTAGCTTTCTGAACATGAGGTTGGAGGCCACTGCTATTAGGTGTTATGCTATTCGTTTGCTATTCGTCCACCCTGTATGCTATTCGTGCCTAGAGAGTCGGGGGGCATGGGAGATTCTTCAAGGAAGCTCCTCCCATGGAGGCGCTTCCTGGAAGAATCTCCCTTCTTGAAGCAGAGCGAGCGGCTGGTGCGATGGCGAATGGTCTTCTATCTCCAGCTTGTTTGTCGGCCCCCCGCCATGTCCCCTTGGGCCGAAAATAGACCCATACGAACAAATCCCGCCTAGGAGTGTGATGGAGTGTCACTTCACCTGAAGAAACGCATGGACCAGCTGGAGATCAAGCTGCGAGAGCACGTAGATGATGCGCTGCATTCCTTAGAATCGAGAGTGTCTCAGGACTTTCAGGACTCCCGCTGTCGCAGGTTGCGCACGATTCGACCCGCTCGGGACGCTCTTGGGAAGCCAGCGCTCCCGGCTTCGGTGAAGCAGAAAGTTGCAAAACATTTGGCTTTGAAGCACAAAAGCACAAAGGAGTAGGAACTATGCTATAGAAACAGAGCTAGAATGAAAAGGTCTTGGGAGTTGCTGCTATGCTTTGTAATTGTAGGTGCTAAAGGGTAGTCATGGCCGTGAAATGTACTGGCCAGCAATGTGCTTTTGTCCATGACAGACCAGTGACTGGTAGCTGCCACATCATGGCTGCGTAGCGAGAAAAACATGCTGATGGTGTTTATCATCCTTGTGCACACGTCAGTTGTTAGTGGCCAGGACCTCTGGCAATGGACAAGTGATGAGTGCCGTCAGTCTACTGATCGGCTGAAAGATTTGGAACAGCGAGCCACTGGACAGCACTAAATACATGCCATGTGGGAATGGAAGCCAACCCAGCCCAAACCCGGGGGAACAAATGTCTGAAATCTTGGTTAATCTTGATCAGACAAAGGCGGGTGCCCACGTTCTCGCTTTTTGCTTTTAGTATGAGCTTCCTTTCTACTTTTTGTCTTTCGGTATGCTTTGAGGTGATTTGCTCCAGCGCAACTGCCCGAGAAGCCTCTGCGAGCATTACTGCATTGCGGTCTTCGCGCCTGGAGGCAGGTGTTGGATCCTCGGACACATCGGAAGCACGGGTGGCTTTTTGGGTCCACTTGGGCGTCATCGTTTTGTGCCCTACCAAGCAAGTGCTTGTGAGCTGATTTTGCCAGGTTGGCAGCACAGTGAAAGAATGCCTGGAGGGGCAAGCAAAACTTTCCGCACGCATTGACGACCTTTGCGACGGTTTGGTGAAAGAGGCGCCGGCCGATTCCTGATTTTGTGTTGCAGAACATTCTTTGCGTTTTTTTTTCCACTCTTCTTGGCATAGGTGCAGGACCGAATGTCAGAGGCTCGGCGATTGCAGTCTGAGCTTTCAAAGCGAGATGAGCGGACTGAGTCCCTGAGAGACTTCGGGCAGGACGGACACCAACTGCCGATTTTGCGTAGAGTTGGGTTCATTGAATGGCTGCTAAAGCTCAAAGGTGTTTCTTTCTTGCAGGAGCTTCATGCAGCAATGACCACCTTGCGCTCGCAGCCAGAGGCCGAGGCAAGACGCGCTGGGTCTTGCTGTCTTGGTGAACTTGTGTACATATAATACATATAGATACATGTAGTTTCAGGATATATATATATATACACACATACTCTGCAAATACACTCCCACAATATTTCACCCCTTGCAAAATGTCTCCAGATTTTTAAGGGATTGCAACGGAGGAGCCCACGTTGGTGCATGTTGCCCCGACAGGTTCGATCCCAACAAGACAAATCAATACAATCCCAATAAATCCCGTGGCTCATTGCCACCCATGCATGCATAGGTTCTATACCGTACATCCAAAACATACAACAATTGCACAGTGATCAAACTATTGACGAATAGAGGTCAGTCGATGCAACTCCCTCGTTTGTCTCTTTCCGCATCACAGAAGTCTCAAACGTCAACGCAGTGACGCTTGAACAAACCTCCAAGGATAGGGATTGTAAAGGATGCACTGTCAGCCAAGACTGCTACAGCTACCTTGTCATTGTCTGTGTCGCTGGATATGAAGGCCACTCGAAGCCTATCAGTTGGCGAAAGAGGAAAGGGTCCGCACAGCATTGAGACAAACAAGAGCGCAGTGCAGCGCTCTTTGGAGGGTGGTGCACGACATGGGCAGCTCCATTCGTGCATGTGGCTGGCGCGTGGGTTTCATTGGCAATTGCTGGCTTCGGGTAACAGAACCCCTAAGCCGAGCACAAATGTTAACAATGTTACGGTTTCAGCTTGACGCGTAGAAATCGAGCGCTGAACATTTGGGAGTTTGGGCTGGGACGGGAAATGTGGTGGGGAAGCTGCATCGAAACTGTCAACGGGGGTGCCTCGCTGTGGGCTGGAACTGGAACATTCAAAAACAACAGCAGTCGACATCCCCATGAACGCAAATGAAAGGGGCCTCACTGGCCGCTGCTATGCTTGTCCATGCTTGGAACCTGTGACGTGCGTGTGCTGGAGCATCTTGATGCCACTTCACCTCCGTGTTAAACATGAAGACAGCTTTACATGGGGCCCAGTCAAGTAAATACTAGTTACTGACCTCGCCCGGAAAACTCAGCAGGGTGGCGTGGCCCTACGCACTTGCGAAAAGCTGCAGCGGCTTGCAGACGAGTCTATGCAGCTGGAACGTCGTTTCAGTGTCTTGACCTGGAACATTCTATGTATATATTTGACAGAAATCTGATGCGCGCTTGACAGCGATAAGTTGTGAACTGTCTTTGTGTTGTTTTTGGTGGGTGTCCACTCGTTGTGGCAGCCTAGGTGATTTGTCCCAACAAGTTGAAGAAGGGCGCGATAGCCAGCGCAAATTACAGCAGGGTCTGGAAGATGAGAGCGCCGCAAGGCACGGTGTTTCTCCCCACGCCATTGAATCGTCCGATTTGATGAGGAAAGATACTAGTGCTATCTTGGTTGGTCAGATCATGGCGATAATCAAGTGTGATGTAGAGGACCAGCAAGCCGTGCAAAACTAGCTTGTGTGCTTTTGTAGTTGTCATTCTGTTGCACCATGAGGTAGGCACCTAATTTTGTATATTAGTGATGTGTCTGACTATATTCCCATAGGCGTTGCAACTTCTTGGAACATGTTCAGTTTTGCAAATCGATAGATTTCGTGGAGACGTGCGACAGGAAGAGCGTTGCCGAATTACTCTGTTTTTAACAGTTGGTAAACCAGGGTTTCTGTGATGTGGAGGCCATCGCTTCTAGGTTGGAGGCCACCGCTAGTAGGTTGCAGGCCATCGCTAGTAGTTTGGAGGCCATTGCTAGTAGGTTGCTTACCTTCCTCTGTCCAGTCTGGCTCGCTTTACTCCTGCCAAGCAGGATTGCAGCGGAGGCAAGGCTTGGAGAAGAATTATCGGTACAGTCCCAAAGTCTCCTAGCTTTGGAACATGTGCTACAAGATTTGGCCCAACAGCGGCGGGTATCGGGCTTAGCCTTGGATGTGGCAATCTGTTTCAAATCCTTTGCATTTGCCCTTTGCAGACTCTTGTGCTATCTAACGACGTTTAGAGGGGTTCATAGACATTCATGATGTATTTGATTAATGGTCACTTCTTGTTGTAAGGACACCTTGGACGGTTTGGGGAGGCTGCAGAGCAGTTCTCATCGCGAGGCCACATGGGGTGATGATATCTGAGAGAGGTTAGACTATGGTGTACTGAGACAAGGTTTCTCGGTTCCATCGGTTTAACATACCCCTTAACTTATCCCAATATGAAAGGAGAAGCAGACCTCACCATTTGATATCTATAAAAGCTCAAGCAGGACCCCTACCCCTGTATGAACAGGGGGATGGTTTAACCGATTTCGTTCTTTTTCATTTGTGAAGTTCACAGGATGAGCAGCCGGAGTCCTCCAAGACGCTGGTCATGCCGTCGAAAGGTTGAAACGGAGAGCTTGGTGTTGTTTTTTACATCATAAAGCCTTCCTGACGACTTACTCTTGATCTTTTCTGCAATCTTTGGGCTTGCAACCCCATGGGCCTGTGGGCAACTCTCATCCCATTTCTTGGGTGGAATGCTGGACATACCTTTGATGTTGAACATGAGCTAAACAACTGTGGCCACAGTTCTTGATGGACAAAATGTTAACATTTACTTTTGGAAGCACACACATCATTTGAAGCAGCCTCTGGCCAAGGACAGAAAGCCTGGGGTCAGATGCAGCACAGGCCGATGCGATCATGCAGCTTAGAGAGGAGCGGAACAGTTTGACGTGGACATTTGCTGCAATAGTCCACTACAATTGAAGGTGACGTGTACAAATTGAAATCACATGGAGGGTGGCTGGCGCAGTTTCTGCACAGCTCAAGAAGCAAGTGCAGCAACGTGGTTTGTCTCTTGCTGCTGCAGGAGTGTCTTGAATCCATTCAACGTGAGGTGCGCTCACGACTACAGGAGTGAGCAGTTGAGCTTAAGGATTGCCAAGTGCCAAGCCAACATGGTTTGACTCAGTCTAGAGATTGATGCATAGACTCAGTTTGAATATTCAACGGTCTGCGTGATGTTATGGTGTCTCTGTCGGAGGACTCGGCGAAGCTGCGCCAGTCCCTTGAGATGGAAAGCAAAGCTCGCAAGGTAAGGATTCTGAGACTGGGCAGGGCAGAACCTGGGTCAAACAAACGGTCCTCCCCTCAACTGCCACAGACAAGTCACTGCGATGCCTACGACAGACTGGTTTGGGGCCGAAAAACAGCACTTGAAAGGCTCGTTGCCACAGATGTCAAGCTCTCCAAAAGTATTGCAGTGGCAATTGCACTCTTCGAAGCCAATTCCCAGGAGGCCTTCGGTATGATCCAGCGTGCTGTGAGCCAATGTGGAACATGAAGGCTCAAGGCCTAAACCTGGTCACTGCCATGCACCAACCAGGGCCGCTAGGGCTCAGAATTGCTCCTGATTTTCACTGTGAGTGCAAAGGACGCTCTCTTGCTTAAGTATTGAAAGTGATGTGTGCTGTGAAAGTTGTTTGCGTCAGGTTTGCTTCGGGTGGACACATGATGCGTGCAGTTTTTTGTTGTTGTCCCGTTTGAACATGCAAAGACAGAGCATGCATTTTTGGACAGGGAGGTGGTATTCTTGAACACATGGGATTTGTACTCGAGCAAAACTGGCGCGAACTGCAGAGATGCAGCACACCAGTGTTTCCTCCTTGCAGCAGTTTTTGCTCGGAACTATGCCACAGCACAATTTCAGCAGTGTTAAAACAGAGCTTGCCACAATACGGAAAGCTACAGTCGGTAACAACATACTCAAGCAAGGCTACACTCAAGAGGGTGCAGATTATTCTCCACTGAAGGCTGTCGTGAGCCAAGTGAACTGCCGATGGTTGACAAGTTTTGCTTGAACACGTGCCATAGTGACACTAAGGTGACATGTACAGCTTGAGAGGTTATGGCGGAAATCACCTCGGCATGTTTGCAGGCATGGGAACTTTGGAGGAACGATGCTTGATTCTCAACTGTTTGAGGCACCAGATCTGACTTCATTATCACACAGCATCCAGAGTTCCACTTGGGACGGCTTGCAAGCGAGCAGGGTACCAGTCTCAAAGGTACACATGCAAGACTCGGAGTCCAACTTGTGTGGCCATGAAGTCACGAACAAGAGAGGAAAGAAGATAAAGAAACCTTGTATTTCTTTGTTCATATCGTTTTTCCCGGTATAGGCGGTCTGTGGCGGGCTTGTTTTTCCAATGTTTTCCCTCTGTGTGTTTGTATTTCGTCCGAGGACTTGGACAGCAGTGGGATACCACAAGATGTGCTTGCAAAACCAGCAGGAAAGAAAAGCAGCCGAGAAAAGCACATTGCACACGTGTACCAATTTGATCCAACAGCGCTTTCCGTACACAAGCCTTTTCACATGATTAGGAGCTGGGTCATGCAGAAGATCCACGATAGCATGCTCAACAGTTCAGAGCGGCTCTGTGGGTCCTTTGCTTAAGTGTCTCAGCGTTGACAGCTGAAGCATTTTGACACCAAAGACCTCCAAAGACGCCAAATAACATTGACAGATACTGAAGGACAGTTCCAGAATCTCCAAAGAGACCGGAATGCTATGACTGTGCAGAGACGTCTTCTCTTTCTTGATGAGGCCTCGTGCTCAAGGAGTGTCGCTAAAGCAGAGAGCCGGACCCCCTTGCAAAGTTGAGTTGGACATTACTGATCCTACGATCCTACGAGTGCTTTTAGACGTTTGTAGAACGGTTCAGTAGTGCGTGGAGCTCAATGGATAGCAGAGGCCCTCGCTCGCTCAGCCTCTGCACCTGGCCGGGCGCTGCCAGAAGTAAATGTTGATGCTGAGGCCAGGACAGAAAGTCTCATAAGAAGGGGGGGGGATTAGGCCGCGAAACCAAGGGGGTGGTACTAGGGCTTTCTGAAGAAGCTAAGTATTAAGAGAAGCTACTAGTAGCAAGAACGCAGCAAAGCGTCCTTGAAGACCACTTGTCATGATCGCATTAATTAAGAGTTAGAACATCACCGCCGCTGCTTCTGGTGAGTTCTGTTCTGCTAGCTTTCTTTCCTCGTTGTCTCATGCGTTCCACGTTGGCCAGACTTCGTTCGACGACCTCAGAAAGGCCATGAAGGCCGATTCCACGCTATTGGGAGTCATGAAACGGCAGTCGGAGGGAGTTCGAGGGAGTCATGAAAGAACATAAACCCAATATATATGTATATATATATATACGTAGTTATTGATATTTACATAATTTTTGGGGTTGGCCACAAGTAGCTAGTAGCAAGGAGTAGTTACTAAGCTTAAGTGGCTACTACGTAGGACTCAGAAGCCCTCTCGTGATTGATTGGTTCCTAGATTCTTTGGGTACCCTGGAACTTCAGACCTTTCAACATCTTTCGGTACTCTTCTGAGAGAACGGCAGAAGTGAAGAGCTAATGAGTTGGACAAAAATGCCTCTTGGAGAATAGCCGGCACTGCATTTAGCAAAACTCAACAACTCAACATCTGAGCAAGGTGCATGCGCTGCGCTGCAAACATGGCCATGCAGCCCCTCGGACGGATGTAAAATCAGAGGCAGACATAATGTAAATTGAAGGTCAGTTCAATCTGAGAAGACTGTTTGTACTGCTACGCCGCCAACACAATGACCTTTGTACAAGCTGAACAACTAAGATAATAGGGAGACATCGTAGTCAAAGACTTTTCTTCGGTTTTGAAGCTGCATGTCCCATGGCAAGGTCACAATGCCACATACTTCATTCCATCAGCGTCCCCTTCGGCACCCACAAGGCTTTGTATTTCATTGACAACGGGCTAGGATTCCAAAGCACCATGTCCTCCCGGGATATGTATCCATGTCCATTTGTTCATGTCTCAAGTGAACGATTGCGTCGAGCTTTCGGAACACATCGAGTGTCATTGAGAGCTTTGAGCGACTGGAATGGTTGGAACAACTCACATTGCAGGGCTTGGGCGCTACAACTACACGGTGCCTTCGCAAGCTCTGCCTTTCATTGAACACTTTAACCCACCGATGCAGGAGGTGCCTTTGCTGCCCAAAGCGGTACGACTAGGCAAAAACTCTGCGTGTGCCCCTTGACGGGCTCAAACTAGAGAGTTTTCATGCCCAAGGCATTCGAGGGCTCAAAGGATTCGGAGCAAATGATGTTACCAGTCGCAGCAATCAACAAACATGTGTTTTTCTTTTGTTTGCAGCTTGATATGCAAACTCCGAATTTAGGTATAGGACTTTTCCCATTGTCCACTTTTGTGGACATGTTCGCACGTGCCAAAGTGGTCGAAGTCGAAAAGTCGCTGGTTCTCAGGTGCTGAGCGACTAGAATCTAGAAGGTCGTTGATAGACGGTAGACACGGTAGATAATTCACTCACGAGGGCAGAAGAATCTCTTCAGAGGTATGACTCCAGGTAGAGCAAAGTATGACTTCAACAAAGTATGACTCTTCATATGTTGGCCTAATGTGTGCCGTCTGCACGCTACAAGCAGATGGTAATTTTGTCGTGGAGAGCGAGAGGTTGTGGACTCTATCAGCCCTGGTAGGCTCAGTCAGGGAAATGACCGATGATTAAACCTGGCCGGGTGAGATAGACAGCGCCACAGTAGGTCAGTAGGTTTGACCTTTGCCAGCAACATCTCTCAAGCTTCCAAGCTGCAGATCACAACATGCCTTGGGAAGACGGAGTCCAATGAGAAACGACGAACAGCAGACTCTGCTTGACAACGACGCAAAGTCGCGCTGTCGTGATGGCAGCTGTCGCGATGCGGCCGTTGGCCAGGCACGCTCGGTTTTACCCGAAAAACGGAGGCATAAAAAGGGGGAGCGCCAATGTGGGAGCGTGGCGCTTAAGAAAACCAGCTTAGAATTGGAGATGTATGCAGACTGAGGCCAGCCAGTGGACCATTGTTGCGACCCTAGAGCTTGAATGACAGTGTCAAGCTGCCAGGTTTTGAGCTAATGAGGACCAGATGTGAATTCATTCTCTTGAAGGTATGTCAGCGAGCGACGAGGAAAACCGCTCGAGGCATTGCTGGTTGAAGATGCCTTGGTGTGGAGAAGCCTGATTGAGGATACAGTTGCAAACCATTTCCGCTGATCAGCAGGTGCCCCCGCCAGCTCATACATCGTCCTTGAGTCCAGCCGCACCACAGGCAAGTCAATCTGATTGCAACTACCGTGCTTTGTTTTGCTTCTTTGTTCTATATGAGTATTTGCAGACGTTATAGCTGGGGAGAACACTGAAAGGCAAATGCAAGTGTCCTCAGACGACGGCGATCGAGCCGTCCACGCGCTTTTCTCACTCCATGGCTTTGGCAGCTGAGAATCTAGCTCAAGGGTCCTTGTGCCCAATGCAACGGCGAGGATTCCTTAGTGAACCTTTGTGTGACATGGATAGGTTTCTTCAGGAGCCCCTAGTAGCGTCCTTGCTCCTAGTAGCGATGCCCTTGTTACTAGTAGCTTCTTGTTACTAGTAGTATGGCCAGGAGCCCCTAGTAGCGGAGGTTTGTGTAAAGTTTGGTTTGTGGGGTTTGTCTTGACAGGTTTCTTTCCACTCGTCTCGTCTTGAAACCTGGTTTTTGAAAGACGTCAGGTGCCTGCTGAAGAGGCTCCGGACTGATTGATGCCCGCAGTGTTAGCCTCACGAATGGTTCCCGCAAATCTCTTTGCATGGAGGACTTGATCTTTTTGGAAACTTGTCCTCTGGTGGAAGACGTAAGAAGTCATTCAATGTTTGGGCAACCAAAAACCACCAGATTGGAATGCAACGGTTGCATTACTTTCTGCAGCTATGAGGGTTCAAATGTCATTGCTGCGAGGGATCGTTTCCGCGGTTTTCGCGTAAAGAACCCGCGATGGGCTTTCCGCCCTGGTATCTTGGAGCAAGAGCTGCCGCAAACTTTCTAACTTGTTGGAACAAGTGGTTAAAACACTTGCAATAGCAAATAGATCCAAATACTTTTTTAGGAGATAGGACATATGTGATATAAGTTTGGTGTTTCGAGGATCAGATTTCGAAAAGGCGAGTGGATCAAATTTTGTCGAATGGGGTGGACCGAAGGAAATTCCAAAGAGCTGAAGGGTCGGGCGTGGGTGCTCCAACCTCCAACTTTCAAGGCCGTCATCGGCTTCTACGAATTCGCTAGCCAGCCGAGCGCAGGCCTATCGATTCGGGGAAAACTATAAACTAAGAAGGAGTGAGTCACATATTGTAAATACAAGGACATCTTGTTGGGGGGGGCAAAACGCCAATGAGTGGCCTTTTAGCCTTTGAAACGATTTTGTGACTGTTTCTCATGACAGAAAGGACGGTGTGGGTTTGGCGAATGATCACGGCCGGACGGACGGCAATGGCT